TTTTCTACGTTCTCCAACCCACAGAAAAAATAAAAATGTACATCATGACGACATTGGTTTAAAATTTTAACTAACAATAGTCAGTTTTCTTTTAAAAAATATTTATTCTGTGTTTAGAATTTAATTAATTTAGCCCTATGTGCTTGCCAAACAAATGCTCTTTATTCTCACTAACAGCAGTGTTTCTAGTTTTCCAGCTGGAGTCTGATTTTAAAAACAGCGAAGTCAACCATGGCTCTAAATCAAAGGTCAGGGGTGCAAAAAAAGACATTTGACCCTTGACCTCTTACATGATTCCCATCTGCACAGATAAGTTACATCCTCTGCAGCAAGTCAAATAAAGATTAAAACAACTAGAGAATTGATGGATTACTTAAAACCCCATAGATATTAAAAAGTCCTAAAGTTGGTTTATTAGCTACAAAATGGGCCTGCTAAATTCTTTTTAGTACTGATTTTAAACTATTCCTTTGGCTGAATTTAAATGGACAACGGGGATCTTTTAAGAATGTGCCTGTGCCAGCCATCTGTCTTCAGGTCAATCATCTGTCTGCAGACCAAACAAAGGAGACGTGTGGGAGAAGAAAAGATTGTTATAAATATGCAGGAGTTTAGAGAGGAAGCTTCTGTCTATAAAAGAGGAAACCTTGGCAGCTAGGGAGGAGAAAGGATAAAACCAGGTCGGAACACAGAAGAAATAACCTATTGCTAGTTTGAGCGGATAGCTTCTTTTATTTTTAATCATCCGACAGCATCACCTGCTGTCCTGACCTTTGACCCTGTTTATGATTAATAATGTTTGTTATTAAGTGTTTTAAAAATCTGAGCTTTTTATTAAAACTAGAAGGTGGAAACGTCATTATTGCACTTTGAACTGTAGCTTATTGAGATTTAAGCTCGACTTGAGTCCCTGCACACAAAAGCAGTCTTATAGAAAAACAAAACAAGCCCATCGGATTGAACACATGAGGCGCGTCCCTGGCCGCAGGTTCTGCTGGGAAACTGACTACTGCTGCTGAGTTTCAGGAGTTTTGGAAACCATCGTTCGAAACAAATCAGTGGTTTGACTTACTGAAACACAGATAAGGAAGAAGTACAGCAGATGCCCAAAGTATTGAGTTAACCTTTCATACAGAGAATATAGAGTCCATTTCTCGTACAGAGGAATGCAGTAGTATTATTATTCCTGACAGGCTTCAGGAACGTACGCAGGCCTGGCGGGACAAGGTCGTTAGTTTCCTTGGAGCGCTGACTGAGTTCTACGAGTTAAAAATCTACAAGCCTTGCTGCTGCTCTGTTGTCATGGCAGGAAGTCGCTCTGAGATCCAGCTGGTCACCTCCTTCAGCACAGACTCAGCAACCTCAGGGAGGTCATGGTGGAGCGCATGGTAGCCTCCTTTATAGATCTGAAAAACATTTCAGAGAAAACGAGGATAGAAAATGTTACATTTACATCCCGTCATGGATCAGTCAGCAGCCGCTTCTGATCAATATGTGGTCCATGATGTGATGTAAATGTAACGTTTAGTACATATAGGTTAAAATTAATCACTGTAATAAAATAACTTGTCTGTTTTTGCCGCTTTACATTGGACTGCATCAACTCTGTTACATTCCAGAAGGGAAACTTCACCAAAGTGAAACATAAATCTGTGGATCTGTGTTTGATTACTCTGGCTGGCTTTCTCAACGACCAGGATGTGTGACACAAAAATCTGAATTTTGGAACTGAAAATGAATTATTGAACTGAGAGTGAAAGTAGTCAAACTGAATTTTTAATAAACCAAAATACATTTTCAAAGCAAATTAATTCAGATACAAAACTTTAAATTCAGTTTCAAACCATTAAATTCAGTTTCAATTTAGTAAAATTCACTTTCATACCAATGCATTCAATTTCAAATTAAGCAAATTCAGATTCGGTCTGATCAATTCAAATTCAATTACTCCTGGCACTAGATTGATCCCATAGTTTACTTCTTATTAGGACCGTTCATTGACTTCCATTCAATCCAGTTATTTCTATTGACCAACCCTGACCCTTACCCTAAAACTAACCCTAACCCTACCTCTAAACCTAACTAGTAGAGTTCATTAGAACTGAAATAAATAAATAAATAAATAAATAAATAAATAAATAAATAAATAAATAAATAAATAAATAAATAACACTAGAAGCACGCTGAGAGTGCAAACCTTCGCCAAGACCAATTTCCCCCATCCTGTAAAAGTTAATGCGCAAAAGCAGAGATGGAAACACATTTGTCGAATAAGTTCTGACATAGCGAACATTTAAGCAGGCAGTATGCACGCGATTTCTTCCCGATGGAGTCCAATGTGAAAAAAATAAATAAAAAAGTCAGACTCGTCACCCGACGTTATTCATAGTCAAACTGGTGTCGGATTAAGCTCCTAAGTTTTCATCAGTCACATTTCATCGTGTAAAACCTCTGTTTTATCCCCTTGTATGAGTTTGTAATGGTTTGACTCTCTTTATAAAGTGCTTCCTGACACCCCCACTCCAAATTTTGAGGCCCGGCAGCTCTCTGTTTACAAATCTAGAAGCCAGAAACTGTTTTGATTGGTTGTTTTGGGAAATGTGGTGTGTTTGAGGAAATGGGAAAAATAAGTTTCATGGTGCAGTCACGCACTTCCTGGTCACAAAATGTTCTGTAAATGCACACCAAATGTGTGAAAATGCGCATATTATGGCAAAATAATATTCATCATTAAATGTGGTTTTAATATTACTTTTATAAAGTTTGAAGTCCGTGCTGCCCAATCCAGCTCACTGTTTTTTACAGAAGCCCTGTGAAAGCATCGCAGCTTTGCAGATCTCAGAGTGTCAAAAGAAAAAAAAATTCCTGTATCTGCATCGTGATCCAAAACATCACCAAAATTTACAGGTGTGTTCCTTGGGCCAGTATCCACATGTATACACACACACACACACACACACACACACACACACACACACACAC